CAGCGGGGCCAAGATGGGGGGCAGGACGGGGGGGACCGGAGGAGGAGGAGGAGGAGGAGGAGGCGCGGTGGCAGCGCCCGCTCCCGAAAAGCTTCCAGTCCACGTAAGTCCGGAGGGGGCGGGGGGAGAGAAAGGGGGCGTCTCCCCCTGGATTGACCTTTAATCTCAGCCTCACCTGCCCAGGTCTTGGGGTTCCCCTCCCTCCGCTCTTTTCACGGTGCTGGCGGGATGAGCTGCTTGCAAACCTTGAGCCCCGTTGCATAAGGTTAGAGGACCTTCTTTCTCGCCAGCCCCGACCCCACTTCTCTTTGCATTGTCAGTGTTAAAGGCAAGATGCATCGAAGCCCCGTTTCTTCCTTCCATCTCCTTCCTTTTCCTTTCTTTCAAGGGGTATTTTCATTACTTTGTGAGCTGTCAAGTAAAAAAAAAAAGTTTAAAAAAGAGTGGGCTGGCACCTTTAATTTAAAATGGCTAAGTGCCACGTGTTTTGATGGTTTTTATTTAATTTTTAATAGACGGCTGTATTTGAAGGACAATGGGCTACAATAGTTTTTTATTTTAATGGGGTTGGGGTTTTGTTTTGTACTGATGTGAATGTGTTTTTTGTCACTGTAAACCCATCCTGGTGGCTCCGTGGTAAAAAAGCTGATTTTGCACAGAATCCAAACTAAGCAATAAATAAAGCCTCAGAACTGCAACTGAATGTTCATATAAACATGCAGATTGCAGGAGGAAAAAAGGGACTGGCTAAATGCTGGAAATTGTCAAATAATCTGGGTTACTTCAAAACAGTCCTTGTGTAGTAAAGCTCATGTGCGGATGCAGATTAATTCCTAGGAAGTATAGTTTATTATTACAATCTCATGCTGGGTGTGTGGCACCAAAAAAAAAGGAGATAAGGGTAGAATGGCGATGGCCAGTCTAACGTTCTGCTCCAGTGCTTTGCGGTAAGTGAAGTTACCATCTGAAATAGTCTCAAATTGTGGGAGCAGGAAGGCTGAATGTTGTGTTCTGCCCTCCCTTTTTTTCCTACCTACATCCAGTCTGGTTTGTGAGACAGGATGAAGAGCTGTGCATCCATTCTCCTTTCCAATACTTAGAATGCCCCATCAGTTCTGTTGAGGCTGATGCTGTATCTTGGTGTGTCATGGAATGGGGGTACAAGAGACAAGCTCTGCATCCCCTTCCCTGTTTTCACACTAGGCACATAGAACCATACCAGCTTACTTTATCAGTGAGAAGACACTTCTGACATTTTGTATATTTTAAAACAACTCTCTTCTTCACAGTTCTGTTGGGGAAAAGTGGGTGAGATTCCCCTCCCATCTCCATAGCAGTGCTAGACAGCTTGGTGCTGTTCTGATGTTTGAGACTTCAGCTGCTGTCAGCCACACTTAGATTTGTTTATTGTAACCATAAGTTATAACACTGGCATAATTTATACAGCCTAATTCATACAACAAAAATTATCCTAATTGATTAAACGTAAACATAATTATAACAACCATCGGTATCTGTCTAAAGTTACAACACTAATATGATTAAAGACAGTGTAAGTCTACCTTAAAACTACAATCTAGCCAGAAGTCTAGAAGGTTGAATAGATGCGGGTTTCTTTTTTAATCGTAAAAGGCAGCAGAATAAATACAACCATTTGAGAGTTAACATAATGGAATACTTCCAGTAGGAGAAAAAAGTATATATTCCACTTCAGGGCCTGTACAATTATCAATAATCTGGTACAGCATTTTTCTCATAATTACATCATAAAAGGGGCAAGGTAGGACGTAATATATATTCCAACTATCCCTGGCCACAATAGCAAAAGGTTGTACCACAGTGACTGTGGAATCTGCCTTTCAGGTACTGTGAGAGTACTGTTTGAAAATTTAAACTAGCAAGTACCTTCCTTAATGTACACTGGAGATACTGAGCAATTGCTGTGAAAAGAATCAGCAACAGTGAGTGTTAAAGGATAGGGATAATTATCTCATGCATCTGGAGAACACCATATTGTATGTCTGCACTCCCAAGAGTGAGGTTTGAGCCAGTTTTGAGTTCAAGATATTTGTGGTCAGCCCATCTTCTCTGGGAGTGACTTTAGACCATGTACGTGGGCACCTGTACATTTATGAATTGGCTTCTACTAGTCTCCTGTCTCTTATAAAACAAAAGTATTTGGCAGGAGAGTTGGCTTTCTTTGTGATAATAAATGTTCTTTATTAGCTGGCTTTCCTGAAAAAGAGAACCTGGTGCATTTTTTCTATTCTGGAGTCCTCCGTTTTTATTTGTGAAAATGGGTTTCTAGGGCCTGAAAAATGGGGGCATCATTTTGCCTTCTGCACATCCCTCAGCCTGGATTGGGACCAGTCTGGGAAAAAAAATGACCTCCTCTTAATTACATGTTTTCCCTTGTTGGGTATGTGTTTGTGAGAGATCTCTCAATATCTTTTGTGATTTCCTGCAGGTAGAAGATGCCCTCTCTTACCTGGATCAAGTGAAGATCCGTTTTGGTAGTGACCCTGCCACATATAATGGTTTCTTGGAAATCATGAAAGAGTTTAAGAGCCAGAGGTAACATGAACCAAGGAGAATCCATCCCCTGCTTCCCTCCTTTGATTGATATGACTAAGCATGGAACCCTAACTGAGCCTTGTGGGAGATTTCAGGAAAGAGAGGGAGCAAATCATCTCTCCTACAGCCATTCTCCTTTGCCTGATTTAAGCACCTACTTGTTCTTAATGTCTTGTCTTGGGTCCAGCATTGACACTCCAGGCGTCATCAGACGTGTTTCTCAGCTGTTCCATGAACACCCTGACCTCATCATTGGCTTCAACGCTTTCTTGCCCTTGGGTTACCGAATAGAGATTCCAAAGAATGGGAAGCTGAACGTTCAGTCACCTCTTGCTGGCCAGGTATGTATCTTGTTTTAAGTATTCCTATCCTGGTATCGGCAGCTGGCATTCCGAGGCAGCTGGATCCTCTCTTGCTTAGCTCTCACAGCATTGTTTTTGTTCCTTGGACCCCCGTGGGACTGCTCCTTTGATTTAGCCTCTACCTGGGACCACAAGAACACCCACCAGCAGTGGAGTCTCTCCTCTTCCCAGCAGATCTACTTCATTGCTTAGGTCCAGGAATCTTTGTAGGAGAGCACAGAAGCAGTCCAGCTCTCCTGAAAAGAATCCAAGTAGCATGAGAGCCAACAGGAAGAGCAGGCATTAGTGGTCCAAGTATAGTGGTTGCTCTTTCTTTTGGGGGGTGAGGGCAGTATTGGTGGCACTGTACTAAAGGATCACTCAAATATTGCCATCCAGAATGGATCTATAGATACTGTAACGGGTGGAGCATCTGTTTTGCATGGCCAGGTTGGAAGTGTTTCTATTTAAAAGGAACTTGGGAGGTGGGCCAGGGATAACGATCTTTCTCTTTTTGAGTTGCTGGAAAGCTTCTAAAAATAACACAATTACTCACCCTAATATCAAATTAATTGCAGCCAACCTGGTGACCTTCCTTGGATTTCATCTTCCATCATCCAAAGTGGCCATGGTCAATGAAGTCCAAAATTACTGGTATCTCTGAAAAGAAAGTGTCTTGCTTTGTGAATCCCAGCAATTCAAGCATTTTGGTACATACCAACCACCTGTTACGGGGTTAGATTCAACTCCTGTTACGATTTGGATACTGAGACAACAACATTCTGTCTGTGTGTTGAGGGACAAAGGGCAGGGGTACTTGTAGGCCTCATGTCTACATTTACCAAGGGAATGACTCCTAGAATTGATTCTGATTTAATTAATTCTTCACACAGTGACTTGCATTTCCCCAGATATCCCTGGAGCCAGTTCAGAACCCTCTCTCTGGCAGCAGTCTAATGCTGCATTACTGCCAGGAGAACACCCACAACCATGGCGACTGTCCAGAGGATTTCCGCCAGCAGCAACAGCCCTGCAAGGATGATAAGGTTCAGATGCCCCTGGAATCGGATTCTGTGGAGTTCAACAATGCCATAAGTTATGTGAATAAAATCAAGACCCGATTCCTTGATCACCCTGAAATCTATCGCTCCTTCTTGGAAATCCTTCACACATACCAGGTAAAGAAGGAATGAGCACCCTCCAGGTCCAGGAAGCAGTAGCAGATAGCGGGTGGGGTCTGTGTGTGCACAGTTGCAGTCTTCCTCCTGTTTCTCTATTCTCAAACACAGAAGCTGGGTTCTTATTGCACACTAGACCAGGGTAAAATGGATAAGAGTACTTTTGTGGGAACCTAGCCATTGTCCTAAGCATATTATATAGAAACCATTATACTGTTTATTGTTTGGGCGAATGTAATGGGAACACAGGAACTGTGTTTTGTTAACCTGGGCTTAGGACTGAATGGGTTGGGTAAGCCCAGACAAGAGATGCTACCCTAGATTGATGCTGGTTTTGCTGCATTGGGCAGAAGCAGCATAACATTTCACAACAGAGAGACGGTTTGGTGTAGTAATTAATGTGCTGGGCTAGAAACCGGGAGATGGTGAGTTTTGGTCCTCCCTTAGGCATGAGAGCTGTTGGGTGACCTTAAGCCAGTCCTCTCTCTCAGGCCAACCCACCTCACAGGGTCATTGCTGTTAGGGAAAAATAGGAGGAAGGAGTGTTATGTCTGCCGCCTTCAGTTATACAGAATAAAAGTGGGATATAAATCGAATAAATAAATCAACACGTTTTCTTAACTTGCAGAAGGAGCAACTAAGCACAAAAGGTCGCCCCTTTCGAGGCATGTCAGAAGAGGAGGTCTTCACTGAAGTGGCAAATCTTTTCAGGGGCCAGGAAGATCTTCTATCTGAGTTTGGACAGTTCCTTCCGGAGGCAAAGAGGTCTTTGGTATGTCTTTGCTAAAACTCAAGATGTGGTCATCTTGAGAAGGCAGGCTACCAAACGTGGAGGCTGAGTGGGAGGGGTGTGAAGAAGAGCTGCTTTTTCGGTGGGCGGAACAGTCTGGCTTGATTCCTGTGCCGGCTGGGGGACAGCATTTGTCTCGATAGCGGGTGGATGCAGCCTCAAGCCTCTGGGCAACTCAAATGGCCCCCAGCTGCCCCACGGAGAGAATGCCTTTGTTTGGCAGCTGTTCCCTACCTCGGACAAGAATAAGAGCAGTTCCTTCCCTGAATGGTGGCAAGCAATTCATAGCAGCCCTTTCCCCAATTCTGGCTTGAGATGTCCTCCAACAGCTTGCTGGAGGGAACCATCTTCCTCTCTGCCCATTTATTTATCATTATCTATTGTATTGATTTATACAGCTGCCCATCTGGCAAACACAAGTGGCTAACGAAGTTTAAAAACGATACAAACTGAACAATAGCCAAAGACCAGTAACCAAACAGTAACCAACATCCTCCTCCTTTGGTTTTAGTTCACAGGAAATGGGCCGTGTGATGCCAACAGTATCCCCAAAATGGAGCACGAGAAGCATCTAGAAAACAGTAAGAAACGGTCCAGGTCCCTGTTGCTCCGTCCTGGGCCCAGCCCGGCCAAGGTATCTGAACTGAAGGCAGAGCTAGGGGGAAAGGCAAGAATGATTTTGAGGGCTCTGGAGTTTAGGTGGCCAATCTAGCTCTAAAATGTTTGGCTGAGTGGTCCTGCCCTTGAGAAAGGGAGGTATTTCCATCAAAAAATGGCTGAACTCATGACACGTTCCACAGATTCAGCTATGCTGGCCCATTAGGCTAAAACCAGTCAACTGTACCACTGTTTAAAGATGGGCAGGTTTTTTGTCGCAAAAGCTTTTGTGACAGGAGGTGGTTTGAAAGAGGAGGAGGAGGAGGGGGAAGCTTCTAGTCCCCCAAATGTTCACCCCAATAAATCTATCCTACTTTATGATGCAACAGGGGTTTTCCATAAACAGTACTGTCACAGTTACAATACCTTTTATTACAAGCAGTAGGTTCTGTATAATTCAACAAAATGTACCTTTTAGCCACATTTCTGAGATTTACAGAAGAATAATGTTATAGTAGGAAAGCCAATTGTGAACTGGAAAACATTTGTCTAAATCAGTGTTTCTGAACCTCAGCAACTTTAATATGTGTAGACTTCAGCTCCCAGCATGCTGGGTGGGGAACTCTGGGGATTGGAAGTCCACACACCTTAAAGTTGCAGGATTTGAGAAACACTGGTCTAAATCCATTTTTACCAGTTCTACTTTTATGTAGGTGTGGCTGGGAGGAATAGCAGGGTCCCATGAGGGGCAGTGTTACCCTTTTGCTTTTTAGGGGACGCAAATGTTAATACAGGTTACTGAATATTTTGTCTGGGATCTTAATGTCATGAAAAGTCAAACAGTTAAGAGCTGCTTCTAAGTATGCATAAAATGCTCCCAACAGAAGAAGATGAAACTGCGTGGGACCAAGGATCTCTCCATTGCAACAGTGGGCAAATATGGCACTCTGCAGGAGTTTTCTTTCTTTGACAAGGTCTGTTATCTGGCATAGAGGCACCGGTAGAAGTGGAGCTGTAGTTCATGGACAAGGACTTACCTTGGCATACAAAAGATCCCTGGGTTGCTGGTGATGGGAAAGGCCCCCAAGCTCATAAGCAAATTGCACTGACTTTGGTTAAAGCAGTTTCCTGGGCTGCACTGCCAGATGATTGCCTGGCTGAGTTAGGCAGCTCAGCTCCTGCAGAAGCTCAAGTAGGAGTTTCAGTGGGTCAGGTGTCTGTTGGTGCCTGGCAGACAGAAGGTGCCACTTACCTCTCTGGCTGTCTTGGTAGGTACGTCGAGTCCTCAAGAGCCAGGAAGTCTATGAGAATTTCCTCCGCTGCATTGCTCTCTTCAACCAAGAACTGGTCTCTGGCTCTGAACTGCTCCAACTCATCACACCCTTTTTGGGGTAAGAGAGTGTTTGTTTTGGCCTGAAATGACTATGCTAAGTTTTGAATTTTGGGCCCAGAGCTCCCTTAGGCTGTTGAGACTCTAGTCTCACAAATGATCTCTTTCTGAAGACATGGAGGGGTGGGGTGTCTTGGTCAAATTAAAAATATGCACGGGATGACATTCTCACACTGAGAATAGTTGCAATGAAGTCATTGGAATAAATAGTTACAGGGTCAATGGATCCCATGGTTTTTAAAATAATAAAGCAGTATATTGTGCCATTGACGGCTGTATAATTACAGTTGTTCAGTCACTTTGAGAACACAATAATCATTTTACAGATTTTGCAGCCAAAGCACAGGCTATTCAAACAACCTGCGCACAGTTCCCACAGTTGTATAAAATGGTTACATGAAATACTGCACAGCTGCAACTTTCTGTTAAGTCAACAGTTCTAGAAGGGATGGGCCATGAAATCCCTCAGCTCTTTTTCCATTCCCCTTAGAAAGCCCCAAGATTGCACAGCTGAAATTTGACAACATGTCACATGTTTTCAGTGGCTTTGTGTGTGTGTGTGTGTGGGGGAATTTAAGAAGGAGATGAAATCATTAAGGAGATAAACATTTCAGCCTTGCCCTCTCCAGTGATATTACAGTCCTTGTAGCATTCAGAGAAAAATGGATGATGATGTAGTAGTAGTAGTAGTAGTAGTAAATGTAGCTCCTGGAGGAAGATGGTTGTCTGCCCTTGCCCTAGAGAAATGACATCTGCTCTTTACCTTTTTCTAATGGTGATTAGTGCTGAAAGGCAGGCTACTACTGTTCACTGTGCCCTTCCTCAAAAGGGCTCTTTTACCTCTGTACATGTCAGTTTCTAGTATATGTTTGCTTGTATATTTGTTTGTTTGAAGGAAATTCCCTGAACTCTTTGCTCAGTTCAAGTCATTCCTGGGAGTGAAGGAACTCTCTTTTGCCTCCCCAATGAGTGATCGCTCTGGGGATGGGATGTGCCGGGAAATTGACTATGCTTCCTGCAAGCGTATCGGCTCTAGCTACAGAGCCCTCCCCAAGACTTACCAGCAACCCAAGTGCAGCGGCAGGACAGCTATTTGCAAGGAGGTAGGTGGTGCTTGCAATCCCTTGTAGAGAGGAGAGGTGAGTAGAAGGCAAGGTGGACTCATCAGACAATGGAGAACATGGCCATGTAGGAAGATGCTCAGAAGATCCTGCTGGTTTAGTGTGTGTTTTAAATTCTACAGGTGCTAAATGACACCTGGGTCTCCTTCCCGTCCTGGTCTGAAGACTCGACCTTTGTCAGCTCAAAGAAAACTCCATATGAGGAGCAGCTACATCGGTGCGAAGATGAGCGCTTTGAGGTGCGTCCCCTTCACCTGACAGTTGTTAACTCACGGGTGTCCTTTTGATCAGCAACTGAGCACTGGGTTTCCACTCAGGAAGTCCCACGTCTACGAGCAGCAGAAGCAGAAAAGGCCTCTCTGCCTGGGATTTTGGAATGCTGCTGCCAGTGGCTGGGTTCATTCCAAGCCATGATTCTGTTAACTGTGGTTTGTGGAATAAACCATAGTTGGGTAGGCTCATGCTTTGCAGCAAGTCATAATCCAGAATTTAAAATCCAGAATTTAAAATCCACACTGCATGCTTAGTCGAAACCAAACCAACACATTTTGATTTAGTATGACACGTGAACCTTGCTAATTTTTTTGTCTGGAAGCTGGGAATGGATGAAAGACTGATTAATGGAGGTCAGACTTCAGATACTGCTACTTCTACTTTTCCCTTGCATCTTTGGGCATCTCTTTTCTGGGCCAGAGGAGACATGTTTGGTAAATGTCCTCTTCTGTGTTTGTTTTCCTAACTTCTGAGCATGTTGTGTGGAAGGAAGCTGTGTTTGAGGGCTACCTCTGAGAGTTTGTAGGGTTGCCATGTCCAACTTACTTGCGTTAAACAGTGGCATTTCCCAAAACAATTTTCAGAGTTAGTGGCAACACATTGCATTGGTGAGTTGATTAACACACTGGTATAATAGAAAGCTTTTGTCCTTGTTCAGGCTACAGATTTATTTATATTTCAAATTTAGATACCACCCATCTCACAAAAAAATGACTCTGGGTGGTTCACAATAAATGGGATAGGGCAAGACCTCACCTACTTTGTGCTGGAGTCTGTAGTTATATTTCCTTTGTTCCAGTTTTCAGTTAAGTGACAGTGTTTTGGAAAGTTAAAACTTTCCTTTATTGATTTGTCCATAGTGTCATTTCTGGCGTCACGTTTATGCCCCCCTTTTTTTGCATAATTATTCTTCTGTAATGGAGCATTTCTGACAAGTGATAAAATAATCACATTGGAAGATGACGATGTATATGCGAGATACTATTGATGTCATGTGAAAACTGTGGTCCTTTGACCATCTCACAAAACACCGCCGTGATTACTATGGTCCTTTACACCCAAATCCCATACAAAGATTGGTTAAAAGACATTAGGAATATATTTCTTGGTTGTGCACCGCTAAGCATGGCTAGCCATCATACTGCTACTTTGTGCTTATGCCAACTTCTTCATGACTAGCATAGATCTACACTTTCTCAGCTCTGGTTCCTAAAATTTCTGTGCTGGTTAATGACTGCAGTAAAGTTGAAATCTTTGGTTCCTAAAATTTGGTTCCTATTTTCTATTAGAAATATATTGATGATTTTTTAATTGTTTAATTCTAACTTTTGACTTCAATAACTTTATTTTCAACATTGACCTGCAATAGATTTATTTTTTTACATCTTTTACATACATTTATTTGCAACCTTAGGTTTTAGCAAAATTGATTAACTTTTTGGAACTCTAAAATGGATATAAAAGTACCATCTTGCATTATAAACTGACTGGCTACAACACAAAGTTGCATGGTCCTTGTTCCTACCTGGAGTACACTTCAGATTGTACTATCATCAGGCTGATTTCACAAAGACTCAAAAGGATTTGTCCTGGGCACTTCTCAAAATACAGTATCTACTTAGTAAAGTGAATACATCCACAAAGTTAGCTACTCAGGAGGAGACTATCACAGCACACCCTCCTTGCGCCCCCCCCCAAAGGAAGCAACTTGTCATGTATTGCTTCCAACTAAAACCAGTTGCATCATTAATTATCTGTAGTCTATTTGGGGCATAACAAGCCTTGGATTACAAGTATATCACGTGAAATAGTTATTTACTATCAAGAGCAGTCATGACACAGAGACCCAGTCTCTGGATCAAGCTCTGCAGTGGTCCGAGATGCCAGCTGGAACCAAAACCATTCTGGCAATACTATTACAGAACTTCCATTTAACCTGCAGTGTTGAGAATTACCTACTCATCTTCCAGTGTGAAATACGGTATTCACGTTTTAGGAACATTTTAACCTCTGATACATTATCACTGACCTTGGCATGGACCTATTTGAACAATGGAACTTAACAGATCTTGTTCTGTCGCCCACAGCTTAAATAGGAACAAGGTTTTTTGTAAATTATTCTACGTGTGTTAATTGGTTCATCAGTACAAAATCTCTGCATTATCACCCAACACCTTGATAACAGCTGTTGTTAATAATGGTCCTTTCTCAATTTCATTTCCCTCTGACTTCACTGTTTATAATTTCTTCTTCTCTCTCAAAGGTATAGATAAATACACTATTAATTTAAGATAATGCTGCATGTTTCAAATGAACTAGACTGCAATCTGGAAAAGTTTATGTGTCAATATATTAGATTTTAGCATGGGAGCCCAGCACATGGGTGCCCAGTTGTTGCTAAATTACATCACTTCATGCGTGTTTGGTTGGGACTGACAGAAATCGTGGTACAATGACTCTTTTGGAGTAGGGCAGCTATAACAACTCTAATAAATAATTGTAATAATAACTGGTGGGCTGGTTTGGTGGTTTGGGAGTGAATGGTGTAATTGTCTGCTGTGACTGTCTCATGTAGTGTGTGGGCTGAGCTGTCTAGTTTCCTGCAAAGAATTGTTCATGATAGAGGAGACTACTGGTAGTTCTTGCTTCTTTAGTGTTTCATGGCTTACTTTTTGCAGCTGGATGTTGTCTTAGAGACCAACCTGGCCACCATCCGTGTGTTAGAAAGTGTACAGAAAAAACTAACCCGTATGTCACAGGAGGACCAAGAGAAGTTCCGGTTGGATGACTGCCTTGGTGGCACATCAGAAGTGATCCAACGCCGGGCCATCTACCGTATCTATGGTGACAAAGCACCTGAGATAATTGAGAGTCTCAAGAAGAACCCTATCACTGCTCTTCCTGTTATCCTGAAGAGGTGACCACTGCACAGTCCCATAAAATCTATTCAATCTTCCCCCAGCCTAACTGCAACACCAGAATTCCCACCCAGCATATTTTGTGGCATGGCTGGCTGAAGATTCTGGGAGTTGTGATTCCAACACATCTAAAAGGTTCTAGGCTGGGAAAAATTGATTGAAATAGCTCCCATCCTTTTGTTCTCCATGAAGATTATATTTCAAATATTTGCCATGATATATCAGTGTGTATTACACTTCCTATATGCAATAAAATGTTCCTCTCTGATTGCTTGGCCTGGAAACAGCATTTCCTTAGAGTCTTTTATTTATGCTTGGTTTCCAAGTTCAGTGGTATCCCCTCTGTTTCAGGCTGAAGGCCAAAGAAGAAGAGTGGCGAGAGGCCCAGCAGGGCTTCAACAAGATCTGGCGAGAACAATATGAAAAGGCCTACCTGAAGTCTCTCGACCATCAGGCTGCAAATTTCAAGCAGAATGACACGAAAGCATTACGCTCCAAGAGCCTACTGAATGAGATTGAGAGTGTCTATGATGAGGTAAATGTTGGGGTTCCTCTTAGGTATGGAACAGACATGAACCCTGATCATCTCACCGCTTTCTCATATATGTATTTCCAGCATCAGGAACAGCACTCTGAGGGAAGAGGGGCTACTAACGAGCCACATCTCATCTTCGTCTATGAAGACAAGCAGATCCTGGATGATGCAGCTGCCTTAATCAGCTACTATGTGAAACGGCAGCCCACTATCCAAAAGGAGGACCAGGCTACTATTCGGCAGATTGTCCATCACTTCATCCCTGACCTGTTTTTCTCCCAGCTGCCTGAGCACCCAGTTCCCGAAGAGTTACCCAGCGAGGAGAAGGGGAGCCCAAAGGCTCACACAGTGGAGACACGTGATCTGCGGAAAAGGCATGCACCGGGCTCACAGACTACTCCTGTGGAGGATAAGGGATCAACCCTGGTGGAAGCCCATGAGCTGAGAAAGAGGAATCCCCCTGGCCCACCCGCAAGCCCTATGGAGGAGAAGCCATCTGCCTTGGAGGGCCATGAACTGCGCAAAAGAAACCCCCCGGCCCCTCCTGCCAGCCCTGCAAAGGACAAAGGGAGTCTGGAAAGCATTGTGCCTTCCACTCGGTCCCACTGTACACTTGACAATGTTTATACTCTTTTCTTTGCCAATAACAACTGGTACTTCTTCCTTCGCCTTCATCAGACTCTTTGCTCACGGCTCCTCAAGATTTACCGTCAGGCACAGAAGCAACTGCTGGAATATCGGACAGAGAAAGAGAGAGAGAAGCTGTTGTGCGAAGGCAGGAAGGAGCGGGCCAATGACCCCGCCATGGAGCTGAGGTTGAAGCAGCCAAGTAAGTTGACTTTGGTAGCATCTTGAGATAGTTTGGGTGGAGGGAAGAGGGGAGAACTGTGTACGTTGGTTGTGTAAACTTCCAAAGGATGGACGTATGGATCAGACAGGTTTTTTTGAATAGAATGTTGAGGGGTTGTAAGGCAACTTTTTCAGAACACTGTTTGGGTGCAAACTGCATCTGAGAATCTTAATTGGCTCTTCATTTTGTACAGAAAATGATACTGTTCTCATCAGTGGAGGAGCACATCTGTTTGCTGCATAGACAGTATTATGCAAAAGCTAATCCTCTCAGATGGGCAGAGACTCCTCTGAAAGTTTAGCTCTCCCACAGGTTGTTTCTTCAGAACTTCTGCTCCATTTTCCTGGTGTAATGTTTTGGGCAGAACTGCATATATTCTTTCTGCCTTGTGGTTAGAGTGCATCTGAGGAACCTTGGTGGTTTTCCCGGCATTTCCAGATTTGAAACCTCTGAGGCCCAGAGGCAGCAACTATTCTCACCTTGTCTTTCCCTAATTTATGCACAGCAGCTTAATTCCAAACTCCAGATTTTTGAAAATTTTATACAGGAATAAATAGAAATTAGACTTTATTGGTAAATGGAATTTAGTTCTTTGTATGACTGGGTCCGATAAAAAGATAGGTAGTCTTTTCAATAACAGAAAAGACAGAAACAGAAGCTAGGTTGTGGCATTCCTTTCCCTGAAAGTTTACATGGTTTTCACCTGCAAGGTTTCGTGTTTCACCTGGCCTTTGAGTTCAGTTGCCTTATTTCTGGTTTTGCTTCAGTAATTTTGATGCATTGGTTGTCTATATTGTATTTATTATACAGAAATGTTTATTTTGCAAATCTCTACTTAGCGGACTTCAGATGCAGTGGACAAAATTGCCATCTGGACATCACCCCTTGGGATGCCCGTTGCATCCAAAATAGTCTGGACGAGGCACTTAAAAAAGATTTTAAAGAATTTAAAATAAACTTTGTTCACAGCATTTTATGTCATTCGTGTACTTGGTGATTAAATGGACATTTGGAAGGAATCGACACCCCCTCTGATCTCAATTGGGGTTTCTCTATATTTTATATTTCCCATACATATTTTTAAATGTTGTGACCCTGTTAGAGAAAAATGCTTCCGTGTTATTATTTGAAATCAAAAGAAAAGATGAACAAGCTACATAATATTTGGAATGGAACAGTTTGTTTTTCTAAGGCAGAGTAGGTAATCCGGTGCCCTCCGATGTGTTGGATGTCTGCACTGACATAGGATATCTCAGTTGTATTCCAGAATATCTGGAATGCACCAGAATGTCCATCCCTGCTCCAGGTATCCCTGCCATTCTTCAACACACCTCCAATGCATCTTTTGGCCAGTAGAGGCCACTACCTTGTGTAATGACTCTCTAATCAAGTTGTCTTCCAGTGGAGGAGAGCAGCTTGGTGTGAGCCTTTGAGCAATTCCTATTTGTGGTGACCACAGTTCATTCAGTTATAGAATGTGGCGTATTGAATCCTTGTGGTAGGCTGTCATTTAAACACTTGGTGTCCTCTTAAATGGATTAAGTTATTCAAATCACTGGTGCACAATTAGGCATGGAAACTGGTTTGGTGTCTACCTGAGCACCCCACACCTTCCTGCAGAGATGCCTGAACAGTTGTCTTTTTCCATGGGGTGTCTGATTCATGTTCTCCCCCAGGTGAAGTGGAGCTGGAAGAATATTACCCAGCCTTCCTGGACTTGGTGAGGAATTTGCTGGATGGCAACATTGACCCCACCCAGTACGAGGACACCTTGAGAGAGATGTTCACCATTCATGCCTATATTGGCTTTACCATGGACAAGCTTGTACAAAACATTGTTCGGCAGGTAACTGCAGCCTTGTCCAGGGAGTGGGGGAGATGTATAGGAGACTGCTTTGGAACCTGCTTTGGGCTGTCATAGTTTGGCCCCTAATGAGCCTCCTATGCAGAAATAACATCCCAAGCAGTCCCCTTGTTTGTGGTAATCTCTGTTACTTGTGTATAAGGCTGAGCTTATTCTGAGAAATTCAAGGTCTCCAGATATGATTCCAGAAGTTCACCCATGAGGGAAAAACTAAAAGTGCTAGCTTTGTTGCTATCTGCAGCTGAGGCCATCCAGAAATACTGTTCCATTTGGCCTTACAGGTAGTCCTTGAGTTACGATGGCGATTGGGACTAGGATTTCTGTTGCTAAGCAATGTGGTCGTAAAGCACATCACATGACCACATCACTTAGCAATGGCAGTCCAGGCAGTCCCAGTTGTTGTAACCCCAAGACCCACGGGCCGTTAAACAGGAAGGGGAGGAAGTCCCAGGTAAGGAGCATGGGGTTGCCACTGGGGGTGGGGGCAGCCGAGCGCAGGCCACGCGCAAGTTGGGTGAGGGGGGTGCTGAAGTGCAGTGTGAGCAGCACAAGCTCAGGAAGGGTGGGGAAGGAGGGCATGGGGTGTGTGCGAGCACAGGAAGGCCAGGAAAAGAGGGCACTGGTGGGTACATGCGTGTGTGTGAGCACAGAGAGGCCCGGGAAGGACAGCACTGGTGGGTGCATATGTGCAAATGAAGGGAAGGAGGGCACAGAGCATGTGAGCGAGCAAAGTGGGGAAGGAGGGTATAGTGTGTGCCAGCGAGTGAAAGGGGGAAGAAGGGCACAGCATGTGCAAGCAAAGAGAGGGCTGGTGGGGGGGAGACTTACCCAAGCGACTTGTGACCTTCCCTGCCAGTTTCCCCATTGACTTTGCTTGTGGAAAGCTGGCAGGGAAGGTTGCAAATGGTGATCACGGGACGCTGCAACCTGTCATAAGTGTGAGCTGGTGGCCAAGCACCTGAATTTTGTTCACATGACCGCAGGAGCACTGCAATGGCCAGAACTTTGAGGACCAGTTGTAAGTCTGTTCAGCGCCATTGTAACTTTGAACAGTCACTGAACAAATGTTTGTAACTCAAGAACTACCTGTACGTTGGACTGAGTCGAGCAGCAGGTTGGGTTAATGTGTTTCTGGTTAGTTTGTCCTGCATGAAGTTGTATGTGCTGGAATATTTTGTTGCTTTTGTGCCCTAGATGTAATGTTGGTATTTTCTGTTTTTCTCTGTCCTCCCTCTGCTTGTTCTGGGGTAACAGCTGCATCACTTGGTGAGTGATGATGTCTGCCTGAAAGTTGTGGAGCTGTATCTAAGTGAGCGAAAGCACGGTGCAGCTGGTGGCAACCTATCTTCACAATGTGTACGAGCTGCAAAGGAGACCAGCTACCAGTGGAAAGCTGAACGTTGTATGGCGGATGAGAACTGCTTCAAGGTACCGCAGTCCTCTTCCCAGAACAAGCTTCCACATCCTATATTTCCTTAGCTGAGGATATTCAGATAGTTGGACTTCAGTTGCCAACTAATATGATCAAAACTAAAATCCAGTACATCTGAAGGGTACCAAGTTGTGGAAGGTTGGTCCCAACACTGGCAGTGTCTTTTCTCCTCTTTTGAACTTTTAAAGATAACTTATTCTATCACCCCACATAACTAGAAACCTATGTGGGAATTAGCACTTTGGGGATGTCTGTCCTTTGTGCCAGTGGATGCAAACAATACTCTGGAGAACAGCTTCTTTTGAGCCTCTGTTCTGCATGCATGCATGCATGAATGGCTCCCTCTTTTCCACAGGTAATGTTCCTTCAAAGGAAGGACCAAGTGATCATGACCATTGAACTGTTGGACACAGAAGAGACTCAAACTGAAGACCCTATGGAAGTCCAGGTAATTCTCACCTTGTTCCCCTCCCTCAAATATGGATTTGACCTCACGTTCCTTAGAGAATGCTTGGAGTAAAGCATTCCCAGAAGTGCAGAAAGGGATATGTTTACTTCAGACTTCCTGTATCGGAGAAGAATGGGACTGATTCTCTTATCTGTCTCCTTCAGCATTTGACTAATTATGTGGAACAGTATGTGGGAGTGGAGGGGACCCCAAGCAGTCAGAATGAAGGCTTTCTCTTAAAACCAGTCTTTCTGCAGAGGTGAGTTGCTATTTTCCCATTGTTTTTCATCCTTCACCATCTCTGCTATTAGTTATATGTGCTAATCAGAAATATGAAAAAAGATCCTTGGTGGAATGATAAAGTAAAAGATGCTATAAGTGAGAAAAAAAGTATTTAAGTAAATGATTGCTGCAAAAACTTAGGATGAGTAAAATTTAATATACAGATAGTCCTCACTTAACAACTGCAATTGGGACCAGTGACTCTGTCACTAAGCAACATGGTCATAAAGTGAAACATCACATGACTGCACCCAAGTTATAATATCAGTTCCGCTGCAGTTGTTAAGCAAATCACCCATGGTTGTTAAGCGTGACATCATGTGACCACAACTTGCAACTTACTGCCAGCTTCCCCATTGACTTTGCTTGTTGGAAGCCGGTTGTGAAGGTCACAAATGGCGATCGTGACCATAGGGATGCTGCAACGGCTGTAAGTTCAAGGACCAGTCATAAAGCTACTTTTTCAGCGCTGTTGTAAGTTTGAACAGTCACTAAACAGGGCAGTTATTACCGAGGACTATCTGTATAGTGTGTCTAGATAGAAAAGGATAGTTGCAAAGAATGTAGTCAAAGAGAGCAAGTAAAAGAGGCAGAGAATTCTGAAGGAAATGAGACATTCTTATGTAAGTAGGCGAAGAGGGCTAAATAAGGAGCCTCCAGCAAAGTGAATAGAATTAAAAATAAAAGTGATGAAAAGATTTGGGATGAAACTGAAGTGGGAGAATGTTGGAATGAGTATTTCAGAGATTTATGTGGGAATAGTGGTGATATTTTGAAGAACGTAATTAACATTTATAGTATTCATTTTAAGAACGTGTGTTTCTACTTAGACTGCCTGGATGAAGTTGTAGGGTTTCGTGTTAAGGTAAAAAATGGGGCAACATTGCTGTAAGTGTGTTAACAATGGTAGGTCTGCAAGTCTTCACACTTTAACCAGAAAATTTTAAAAATATAGATGTGGTTTGCGTATGAAGTAGCTGTATGAGACAACATTTGTGAAGACTGAGCTGTGTCTTACAATTGGAAGAATGCCATTATTGTTCCCCTATATAAAGAGAAAAATAGCAAGAGTGAATGTTAAAATTTCAAAGGAATTAGTTTGTCTGGAAAGTAGGGTTGGCAAAATTCTGATGGAAAAGGTGCAAGAGGTGATGATGAACAAAACTTGGAAAGTGTAGTGTGGTTTTACATCAGGTGGGGGTTAGACAGAATTGAAGTTTTGCTCTTCAGCAGGTCTTTGTGAAATGTATGAATAGGAGAACATGTGTATGTTGGTTTAGATTAGTGTTTCTCAAACTTGGCAACTTTAAGATGTATGGACATGCTGGCTGGGGAATTCTGGGAGTTGAAGTCCATGCATCTTAAAGTTACCACGTTTGAGAACCACTGGTTTAGAGAAAGCATTATAAAGTGAATTTGCTTGAAGATTTGATTAATAGGACTTAGATGAAGCTATGATCACATTGAATGTCACACTACTACAGGATTACAGACACCTCTAAAGAATTCACATACTTTCTGTAGTGGGTAATTTGTACTCTGATGGCAAGGGTGAATGTATGTTGAAAGAACTAAAATCAGCTGTGTATAAGGGCATGCTTCTGCCCACTTTGTTATAGGAAGTGAGAGTTGGGGATGTCAGAAGAAACATAGAATGCAGTGGGAATGAGATCCTGAAAAGGTGTGCATGGTAAAACAAGAAGATGTAGGGTCAAGAATGAAGAGGTATAGTGAATTATTTTGGTGTAAACTAGATTCAGCTGTATTTCTTTTTCTAATCACATGCCTTTAATTTCCTTGGTGTCTTTTTTGATCTTTTGCATAACATTGCTTACCCTGGAAAGGAATAGAATGGTGGGTCTGTGTGAACATAGTTTCATAACAGGTTTTTCTGCTTTACTCCTTAAAAGTACTGCTTGCATTTTGGCTGAAGCTGGTCAGAACCCCCCTGTACTCCTGTTTCAGAGAGCTTTGGAGAAGGCTGGTTGGGTGCCACTTTCCCCTTCCTGCCTCCCTTCCTTAAAGTAACCCCAGGCTGATGCGTGTCCTCTTTTCCCACTTCAGGAACCTTGATAAGTTCCGGCGATGGCAGTGCCAGCAAATCCAGGCCATGCGTGACAAAGCGAAAAGTTCCTGGAAGCAGCTGATAGGCGTGGAGAGTGCCTGCAATGTGGATTGCAAGTTCAAGTTGAACACACACAGAATGCTCTTCATCATGAACGCTGAAGATTACATGTACCGCCGGGGAGCACTGTCTCGAGCCAAACAGGTGCACCTCTTAGAATGACTCCTTTGGGCAGCAGTAGACTGAGCTTCCAGGTAACCCATGATCCTTCTCCTTTTCCTCATCTCTCTTGCAGGCGGCACCCCGAGTCTTGCTGCGGCATCACCAGCGCTTTGAAGAGTGGCACCGGCGCTGGCTTGCAAGGCATGTCAACCGAGAAGCAACTGAGATGGTCCAGGACTGGCTGATGGGGGATGAGGATGAGGACCTGGTGCCCTGCAAGACTACTTGTGAGACTGTCAGTATACACGGGGTGCCTGTCAACCACTATCACGTGCAGTACAGCCGCCAGCCCTCCTCGCCCTGACTTCCAGTCTGTCCACCCACCCACCCTAAATTCCAGTGGCCCTCATGGACTTCTGGGAAGGCTACATATGTATCATTGGTATTTATCCAACCAGCTTTTTTCATTTGGGGTCTCACTTGGGGCTATGATGGTGTTCTTCCCCACCCCATCCCACCCCATGGAGCATGGATGTGCTTGTCTTGGAGAGGATGGACCCCACAGCAGAATGGAGGCCATTTAAACTGGGGCTTTTCAGCTTAGGCCAGGAGGGAGATTGAACTATAGGAGGGAAGTAGGCAGAGGCTAGAAGAGACAGGCCATTGCTGTTTAAAAAGTTCCAAAGGTGTCACATATTGGGGATGGGGTCTCCAAGGATCTATGACAATGACTTATTTGTATCATTGAGCAGCAAACAAAATGTCAAGTGTGGAAACCTTGACTTTCTCACTTTTTCCCTATATTCTAATCCTTGGCACCTTCTGTTAGCATTCTTACTTGGTGAAGTTATCCAAGTGAGTGCTGCATTGTGGGCAACTAGGGCTCTTACCCCTTTGAAAATGGGAGAACCCAAGATTTCTTTAAGAACCATCAGTCCATGTTTTCCTGCAAAGAAAGAAGAGGTTTAGATTTGCATTCTCTCTCTACCCATCTCCAAAACCTTTTCTGATCTAGTGCAAAATTTGGCCTGGGTAAAGTTCAAGGTGTTGTTCCTCCCACACAGGCTTTAATGTGTTCACTTATCTATGCCATCTTACTCCTTCACTTGTGTGCCCCTTGGGGCAACAAGATTTGCAGGTCCTATCTCTGGATAAAAGGTGCCTGTGCAGAGGTGCTGGATTCTTCAGTGGGAAAGACCTGATGTAGGTTTGGGGTTTTTTGTGCTGAAGAGCAGCAGCTTTGGGTCTCCCATAAGGGGCTGCTGCCCTCCCTGCTTCCAAAAAGTCCTTGGTGTCTAGGGACTTTCTTCTACTTGCAAAATATGCGGTTGCATTCCCCTTCTCTTCTCTTATTCCCCCTTGCTGCCAAGGAATGGGGATGCACTGTCACCTTGTGCAGTATACAGGAGTCCCGGCTCTACCACCTTTGCCTCCAGCAGCTTCTCCTCCCAGATTTCCAATTGTGTCTTCTGCTGTACCTAAGCAGAGAGATGACTGCCTGTGCCAAATTCTGTTAAGAAACTATTACTAAATGGTAGCTTGTGGCTTAATGTGTGTTTGGTTGGGGGGCATCGTGAAGTTTGAGAATTTTATCCCCTTCTAGACCACCCTCCTTCCTCCCCTCTTTTTCCTCAAACTTTTTCAAGGCCATCTTTACACATCCTTTTATAAATCAGTTAATTTATAATCTGAGTGGACAAAGCAAGACTCTATCCTTTGTATCCTTCTCATCGCTCAATGTGGTGTTAGCAAGGGCTACATGAAACCAACAGGGACCTGTCAGTAGCCGGAAAAGAAGACAAGAACATTCTTCAGTTTTTCTGAAGGATCTCTTGCTTTTTTAAAATTGGTTTTGGCTTGTATTTGCTTTGCAATTCTTTAAATGTAGTTTTTAAAAAAATATTTATTTGCACATCAAGTAAAATAAAATATTAATTTTAAAATGCAAAGATTCCTTTGTTTCTTGATTCCTAGGTGGCTCTGGAGTAGTTGACAAAGCACTTGGGGAGCAGCTCTTCAGAGCATTAGAAAAGTTAGAAGGATGTGTTTGTGGCCTGGGTATAACCAGTTGAATATTCAGGGAGAGGCAGCTATTCATTAAGTAGAAGGCTCTCCCTCAATGATGAAACATAACAGATCTGGGACTTCGATGGAACTGTCTCAGTGAGATTACTTAATTCCTTGGACCAGGAGATAGTTGAGTTGTGGTGCTCAAGTACCAGTTTGAATCCATTTCATTATTTATTTCTGGGATTAGTGACCCTGATGTCCAGAGAATTATAATCCCTATCTGCAGAAAATCAAATTCAAGGGAGCTCTTTTAAATCCATAATTGCTTAAATTGGCTAGATGAGGGACAGAAAACTGCACTTAAATCTAAACAAAGTGGACGTGCTCTTGGTAGACAGGAAATGGGACAGGAAGATGGAGGTTCAGCCCATTTTGGACAGAATTGTTCTTTGCCTGAAAGAGCAGGTTTACAATCTGGGAGTACTTGATCCTTACTTATCATGAGATTTGCAGGTATTGGCAGTGGCAAGAAGTGTCTTTGCACAATTGCATTTAATGTGCCAACTATTTCCATTCCTGGGCTAATCAGATTTGGTGTTGATTATTCATGCCTTAGTTACCTCCTTTTTGACTATGGCCATGTGTTCTGAGTGGAGTTACTCTTAGAAAGTATCTGGAAATTGCAGGTGGTACAAAATGTGGCAGCTGGGTTGCTAACTGGTGCAGGTTCACATATCATATGAGGCTAGTTCTAAAGGACTTGCACCCGTTGCCAGTTGCTTACCAGGCACAATTTAAGGTGTGGAGTCCTTGCTACTTTATGAGCTCGGTTGTTTGCTTGCAGATGTTTCATTACCCAACTAGGTTAACATCATCAGTGCAAGTAAGTGTGGGGTTTGCTCCCTGTTTATATACAGTAGCTTGCCCTGCCAGTGTTGGTGGGGGTGTGGTTTTCTGCTTGATAGTTCCTTGATTAGAGTATTGTTTTCTGCTTGATTGTTTGCCTGGTGTTAATCCCTGCTTATTTTGGTGGTGGCTGTTGAAGAGGATGTGTTCTGGTCTTTTTATTTCCTTCTTAGCTTTTTTATTGTCTCTTTTGAATGGTATGCAAATGTGGTTTATCTCTATATGTCTATTGATGGCTGATGTGTCTGAACGCCAAGCTTCCAGAAATTCCTAGCGTTTTTGGATTTAGCTTGGTCTAGGATGCTCACAGTTTCCCAGTTGTAACTATAGTTGAGTCTGTCCATGTGTTGTGAGATTAAAGACTTTTCATGTCTTCTAACTGCTCATCAGTGTTCATGGATGCACTTTGCTAGTCTTCTGTCTGTCTGTCTTGCTACGGTGCTGACTGCAGCATTTAGAAACTATAGCACTCCCACACATACAACCAAAAGTATGGATCTGGTATGTAGACAACACCATCATAATTAAAAAAGGAACAATTAGAGAAGACACATGACACAATCAACAACATCTTCAAAGGAATAAAATTCACAAAAGAAGAAAGTAACAGCACACTACCCTTCCTGGATATCCTCATCAGCAGAGGAAATGAAAGCAATTAGAAATGCAAGTCTTTTGAAAAACAACCCACCCTAACCAAGTGCTACATTACCAGAGTAACAACCCAACCTCCCACACCAGAAAAAGGAAACAGATCGCCTATACACATCTTCCAACAAAATGGATACCCACACAACTTTATCAAAAAGTGCCTGACCACTCAACCCACTACAGCACAACCAACACAATTATGAAAAGGATCACACTGCCCTACATCAGAAACATGTCAGAGACAACCAACAGACTATTCCGCACACACATCATCACCCTACCACCCAAACCAACTAAAGCTCTCCAAAACATCTTAAGCAAACCAAAAGACCCAGTAGCCCAAGAAGAAAAAACAGGAGCCATCTACAACATACAATGTAAGGACTGTAACAACCACCATGTAGGACAAACAGGCAGAAGCCTAACAGAGCACATCCATGAACACCAACTAGCAGTCAGGAGACGCTCTCCAAAACATCTTAAGCAAACCAAAAGACCCAGTAGCCCAAGAAGAAAAAACAGGAGCCATCTACAACATACAATGTAAGGACTGTAACAACCACCATGTAGGACAAACAGGCAGAAGCCTAACAGAGCACATCCATGAACACCAACTAGCAGTCAGGAGACACAATGAAAACTCCTTAACTCTCACAACACATTTCCATTTCTCCTGTATTTACAAAACCTCCTGATTTCTCTCTTTCATCAAGATTTTGTTAGATGATGTAAACATTTATTTTATCATTAGTTTTAATCTGTATTTTTTATTTTTTCTGTTTTTGCTTTTATTTTTTATTAGCTGTCTTGAGCTCTTGCTAGAGCAAGAAGATGGGGTATAAATCAAGTAACAGAGGGTTCTTTTAGAGGTGGAATGGTGCACTTCCTAAATGTTCTAAGCAACTCTTAATGAACTAAGCCTGAGTTTAAAAAATTACATTGCTAGGCAGACATAATAGCTGATTGGGGTGTTTATTGTCAGGCAGATTTCTAAGAAAGTATTGGATTGCAATCATGCCCTATTGTTTGTTTGCTCAGAACTCATGGGGTACCCTGAGCTATTTGCAGATGCAAAGAATGTGGCACCGCTTTCCTGTTTCTAGATTTTGGCATTTTGCTTTACAATACCATAGCATCCTGTTTGTTATATATTTCTGTGCATAAATAAGCCAGATTTGCAATTATGATTCTGGGATTGGCACAACAGAAAACAGTGCCAACTGATGGGACTCAGAAAGTGGACTTTCTCTGGCATAGTGGCTGCCTGGTGGAACAGCATCCCCCCTTCCTTCAAGCATTCTTTAAAACCTGACTTTTCTCAAGGCCTTGCACTAGGGTGGGTGGCAGAGCTCTTATGGCAATATGTATGCTCAGTTATATGTTTTATTGCTCTGTCCAGATGTCCCGGTTCTTTCTTCTTTCTTATATTCTTTCCATACTACTTTTAGGGTTTATGCCACCTAGAGTCACCATGGAGTCAGTTGGCCTTATAAATTGAATAAATAAAACTAATCACATTTCTCCATATGTGACCAGGTTCAAAGTATATTTTGGACACATTACATTATATGAAGAGTCAGCTTCTTTGAGAGGTCTATCATGCTGGGAAAGTTGGAAGGAAAGAGAAAAAGAGGACGACCAGCAGCAAGGTGGATGGGTCGGTTACAGCAGTGACGGGTGCATCATTGGAAGGCTTGCAGGGCCCTGTTGGGGGCAGATTAGTCTGGAGACAAATCTATCTATGTGGTTGCTAAGGGTTGACAGCACAGTCAATCAGTGTATTTGAAAACCAGTCCTGATCATATCTGCAGAACTTTAACTTCCCTTCATATCTCACTTTCAGAAAGATTTGAAAGAAAAGATTTGTCTCCCTTTGGTTAGTTGTATCAGCAGCAGTCATGTAACAACTTGAGATATTTCAAATTATTTAGTTTTTGAGAAGGAATACAAGAAGGATTTTCTTGACCTCCTTCATTCCACAATGGAACATCCTTACAGATTCAAAATGATGAGAATAATTTTGTTAGGGGACAAGTTGCAGAATTTGCTGTAGCAGCCGGAAAATTGACTGCTTAGTTTTCTATATAGTCTTGCAGTTGATTGTAAAGGTGTTAAGTGGGACCAATGATTTTATGCTTTGAAAACCAGTTTCTATTTCAATATAGCTACGTAAAGATTCTAGAGATTAGCACTACAAATGCCTTGCATTTGTGCATGTACAGTAATACCTCGGTTCACGAACGCTTCTGTTCACAAACAATTCGGTTCACGAACAGCACCGTTCGCAAAATTTTGTTTCCATTCACGAACTCCGCATCGGGTGAC